AACAAAAGTAGCTGGGAACACCGCTGAGTGTTCCCAGCTACTTCTGTTTTTGTTTCATAATTAATTATTAAATTATTAAAATAATCTACCATACTTAATTAAGCATGGTTTTGTCTGTTCAGTCTCTATTACTTAACAGGAACATTTACTACATTGTCTTAAGAAAACCCGACTGGGTGGTAGATGGACTGGATTGCAATGGGTCTAATATTTATGCAACGATTTCTTGAATATGGAAACCTGAAGCAAGTAACTCCCAAACTCCCCTCCAACCCAATATACGTTTGGAGTTGATTTCCTGTGGATCTGCGAGGCGTGTTCGGTTACTAAAGTTTTCATTGGGTGTTGCTGCTAAGGAGCCTAGTGAGGTGTCGCCATATATTAGAATCAAATGTAAATTTTAGTTTTCTCTCAATGACTGCTGCAGATCTGGGTTTCTGAAAGGGAGGAAGGAAGTTTGAGCTTTTGGCCACTTTTTTTTATTTCAAACAAGAACAGAAGATGAAGCTGCGGCTGTAACGAATCGAACATGTCATTAACTTGTTAACTACTATGTGGCCAACGAGGCAATCGACACACTCTTATCGCAAAGAATCAAAACTGTAATCTTTCCAGAGGCAGCAACATTGCACAACCCATTTACTGTGTAAACGGATGTCATCTGTCAACCTGCTGACTCACAAGGCTGAGGATGCCAGGGGCAGTTTTTGGAACCAGCAGATACAACCATGGTTATCTGTAAGGATGAAAAAGGGGACTTTTACATCCAAACTTCTTTGAGATCTTGCCATAATTTCTCTTCCGGCTGTATTGAAATCTTGAGTTAAAGAATATAAAATGCACTTCACGCATTGCTCTCTCTCCGTATACACGTGCACTTTATGTTTAAGATTTCTTGAGTTGTTCCTTGTCTGGGTGTCAAGGAGGAGGAGCTAGGAATCTACAATACCATACAAACAGGTTTGCTATGCTGTCATATTTATAGCAAAATTTCTATCTGGGAATTAAAACCTCATGTTCACTAACATATAGTCTAAAATGTGCCTGGGTAAATCACGTGTCCCAGACTGGTGCAGTTTGAAACCTTTAATTGTTTCAAGAGGGACAAATTTACTAGATTTTACAGTGAATCCAAGATCTGTTTGTAATTTTAATTGAAATATATAACAGGGGTTTAATACTCAGCGATTTCTGACTGAAGAGTTATTGAAGGAGTTTTATTCCAGTGATTGTAAGCATGTCACACAGATCAGTGAGTGGAAGTCCACTCTGAAAGCAGATTGTGTCTGACAGCAGTCCCTGCAAGCTGACATGATGCAATTTCATTAGTAAATGATTAGTTAGAAACTGATACTTGTTCCACCCCCAACACCTTCAACTCCATATCTGGCTCTAGGTAAAGGTATGGTCTGGGCAGAGGTACCTTGACTGCAGTTCTATTATCGTCTACAAACATGCACCACATGGCTCCTCCTGGTATTTCATTAATCCACTGTTGGTTGGACTTGCAGGTTACATTTGCTGTATCATAGAATCATAGAATTACACAGCACAGAAAGAGGCCATTCGGTCCATCTGTCTGTGCCAGCTCCATGAAAAGAGCTATCCAAATCAATCCCACTCCCCCGCGCTCTCCCCATAACGCTGCAAACTTGTCCTCCCTAAATAATTATCGGCTCCTGCCCCTGTTTGGGGGTCAGTCTGACCTAGAAAATCTCAAAGATACCTACATCCCACAGACAGTGCATTTTTCACAGGAAGACAGTTGGATCGCAGTGCTATCAAAGCTTATGTCATTCATTCCCAATGGGTTTGACAAACACTAAAGCTTTTAACAGAGTGATTCTAGCATTTCCTGATAAGGAGGAAGCGATTTTGCAAGTTGCTGTTAATTCAGTCCCAAGTACTCCGGGCTCACCCTTTAAACTTAATTTAAATATTTACTTCTATAGAGGAAGTCAACACAACTGAATGTGTGTAACCTGAATTTAGATTTTCATAATTACTTAGCAAATCACAGCATGATATTAAAAAAGACTGCGGTGAACAAAATTCTTTACTGCATGATAGTTTCAAATAACCCTCCAGATTATATATATTTTAGAGAGCATTCAAACAGAAAATGAAAGCCGGTTGTCAAAGCATTTCAACTTTAACCTAAACCTTTCCCTCGTCATTGCAAACTCCCAGTGGCACCAGTTCACCCATCATTATTTACTGGGCTTTTACTCGCAACTTAAAATCACTCAATCTACGATGGTTTGTGGGACACTGCTGTGCGCAATTAGCTGCTGCGTTTCACCCACAATAGTCAATTCACTTATTAACTCATCTCCGAGGGCAAATGGTGAAAGAAGCAGTTGACACATTGTGGGAGTGGAAGATGAGGTGTGGTGTTTGCCTCTCCCAAGTCATGCCAAGCCAGCGAAGCATCTTCTCAAAAAATCAGAGGAACCTGTTTATCCATCCACATAAATTGCTTCTGTTTTTAATGAGTCATTTCCTCACAATTGTGCTCAAAGCAAATAACCATTCATTCTGCGAATGACAAATCGCATGTAGCCCCAGCAGCTGTTTAGACAGAGCGTGATTGATAAATAAATTGATGCTCACATTATGTTATTCAGCTCGGAGGAAAAGTTACGTTGCCAATATCGTGAATGGAGCTGGAATTTTCACATAACTGGCTTGAATTTATCAGTCGTTCCATGACAAGAAATGTATGGAAGATACGGGATAACTGGGCCGTTTTATAAATATAGAGACAATTTAGGTCTCTGCTTAACAAATACTCCATTCCGTACAAAGTACATTTCCACTGAAGAGCAAAGACCCGATTCTGTCAGTTTGATCACTTTGCAGTGTTCGTGCATTTGATTGTTTCAAAAGCAGAGAAGTTTCCAGATTGCTTCAGAATCTACTGATTTATTATCCATGATGGTATGACTGCAGGGTCTAAAATGCACTCATTTCAAATATGTCAAGTCAACTTGTGGGAACCTTCTTCGATTCAATCTGCTTTCTGAGACAGGGTGACGTACCTCTGATTATCAGAGGACACCCCCCCACACACCCACGCTCACTCAGATTCCGTAACTAAATTTGAAATCATTGTGTTTTAAGTCTCTACGACACTAGTTAATGTGGCATCTGCACTTTATCAGAAAGGCCTTTTAAAAATCAAACCGCTGGCAAGAATTACCATTTCCAAATATTGCTTTGTGTCTTTACTTTGAAACCACTTCGCTTAAACCTCAAGCAATGGTGTGATACGAGAGCGAACCTGTAGTCTGGGAGACGTGCTGTTCCCGACAGTGTCAGGGTGTTAAATTAACATGCAGCCAAAATGACAGTTCCACTGAAGCACCCGGGTTAATCATTCTTTCACTGGAGGTTAACACTCCTCACTCGCGCTGTCAGATTCAAGTTTCTTTTTTTTTAAAAAAAATAAATTGTGAAATCTATCAAAAGAAGATATATAAGTTATAACCTTGAGGCAACACGGCATAACGATTTGTTCATTAAATATTATGCATAAACTCCGACTATTCGTCCTTAATAAATTATTTCAAAGTGGGAAACGGCCTCTAGCGGGGGAAGGAAGGGGAGAAAAGCTAAGCAAATCCCATTTGATTTTCATTGGGAAAATTTCAGACGTGAAGGAAGGGATGATATATTTTACGATGCAATGATCTGTTTGGATGTAATTCACGTCATCAAGTGTATCGGGGGCTGGGTGAGGAGGGAGGTGGAATAAATCAGGTTTGACAAATATTTCTTTCACAGAGAGCACTTTTGATGAAAAGCTGTGGCAGACAGAAAAGATCTTCCATTCCTCTCTAATCATCAGCATCCCTTAGATCCATCGTCTAATTCGGACTACATTTATCTGACAACTATTTCTGAGAGGCACACTGTTTGAGAACTAATCAGTTGCAGATCTTCCTCAGTTGCATGTGCGATGAGGACCTTTTGTTAATGAGTGAAGGAAGGGGAGAGATAATTGGAAAAAAATGCTCCACTTCCTTTCTTTAATGCAGCAAGCCCTTGAGTTTCTGCTGACGCGATAAATTGAGGATTCCCAGACATCAAGTCTATATAGGGTACTGTTTTGAAGCGCATATGTGGTTTATGCAAAGGGTCTGGGGTAATTTGTTAAAAGAATTACTGCAATGGGTACTTTATTGGATATGTCATGCAAGTTATCTCACAAGAGGCATGAGCCTGACATCTTGAATGTGCTTTCAGAAAGGTTGATGTATTAAGTTTACCGGGGATCTGAAGTCTTGTATGCAGTGATATCTAATGGGTTTCCTTATGGGAACCAGATGTCCACCACACCCTAACCTGTTGGATCTCGGCTCTGACTCATATCATGGTATTGCAGTTCACAGCCGGACACTTTATTATAAAATAATGTAGAGTAGACAGTTTATTACCAATCAATTTAAAAAGTCCATTTACCTGCGTGAAAACTTGCCCAAAAGAGCAACAATGCTCCTTGAAGAAAATGGTTCACCTTCATGTTGTTATTAATATGATTAAATCCAATCCTACGCATATGACAGGACTTGCGTGAACATTAGCTTTCTTAGCTTAATCCAGTGACCGAATGTGATGTTGGCATTGCCATATCATAGTTAATACCATATTAGTTAATATGGTATTAACTGTCCATAGGGTGAAAATGCTCTTAAACACCAGCAGAAATGTGGGTTTAACAAAGAAAAGCAGATGAACATACATCTTATTTGCGGCTCTAGAGAGAAATACATTGTAGTTCCAACGTGAATAAAAAGAAATGTGCGTTTTACGGTTTGAACACATCTTTCATGGCATCTTATCAAGTAACCTCTGCCAGAACGCTGCGTATATAAACTTTATTCCAGTATTTTTACTGATACCTTTTAACAGCCCTAAAAACAATCATGCAGAAATCACCCAATACAAAGTTTCAAGTAACCCAGGGTTGAATGTATTGTGCAATGCCAGGTTCTTACCTGCTTGGTTGGTTGTGACAGTGACCGAGACGGCCTGGTCACGGCTAGGATTCTGCTTTGTGACTCCATTCATTGCCCGGATTTCAAAGGTGTAGTTGGTGTGAGCCTGGAGATCTGTGATGGACACCTTGGTATTCTTCAAGGCTGTTTGCTGGGGAATGAAGTGGATCCCATTTTCACACGGCCAACAGTGACTGAGACCACTGATGCATTTCTTGCAGATAACACTATAGGTGATGTCATGGCGGCCTCCAGTATTCTTTGGCGGTCTCCACTCCAGCATCACAGACGTCTCGTTGATGTTGGAGATCAGACTCGTAGGGGCAGAGGGTGGTCCTGGGAAGAGAGGAAAACCACAGTGAATGACATTATCAAATGCGAGGATTGTTATTAAATTTGAGGAAGTATGGACAACGTTCACTTAATGCTTTACAAAATATCTTGGGAGCATTTGTTGGAAGTAAATCACTGCCACTGATATTTTTAAAATGTATTTGTTGCATTTTAAGGCTCTGTGAAAGCACAGCTTTATTCCAGAAACACTTTGAAATGCAAAGATGCCATTAAATGTTTGAAAGGTTACTTAAAAATGAGATGCAAATGTGTGTAGCATAAGCTTTTAAAACCTCACCTAACAGCCAAAGAGAGTATCATTTGCTTGGATTGTTTTAGCTGAAATGGGAATAGTATCAGTGCTGTGCTGACCATAATTACATTAAAAAAATTACACGTACAAAAATCGCAATGAAAACATTTCCTTTCAGCCATTATCTGTATTAAGGATTTTCGTTTCCTCCCTCCAGTGAAGGGAATTCAAATGAGCAACCTGTAGTCTGGGATATTTGCAGGTCTGACCTTTGCCCCGAACTTGGGGAATTTTAAAGAACCAGGTGCAAAGAGCAGAGGTCAGAACAAGAACCATATTACCGGTTCTGTTCCCCAGTGGGACAAGAAATGAAAGAGAATTAAAGTAGAATGATTGTGGAGGAAACGGTTTGATAAGCAAAGATATTGAGCTTGTGTTGTTATGGAGCTCTGCAAATTCAAAACTCAAGCAAAGGCATCTTTGTGTCTCTCACCCAAATTATTTGGGATCAGGGCTACTTTCTCAACATTTGCAATGGGAATCAAGCTTGTCAGGCTTTATGCTTGGTCGTTCAATCCACGACTGTTTGTGAGACACTGTTGTGCGCAATTGGCTGCCATGTTTCGCCCGCAAAATACATAGTCAATTCACTTTGCAGTATATTCTGTGAAGCGCCTTGAGACGTCTTGAAGACATGATAAGGCACTATATCAAATGCAAGGATTATTATTATAATTATTATATAATTATATAATTATAATTATTATATGCCTCCAGCAGTCAGGAGCAGGAAAACATGGCTAACTTCTCCAGCCCTCCCCTCCCCAGGTTTGCTGAGGTTAATTATAGTGACTACACTGTTACTCTCCAGCTGAGATCAGCTCACACAGAACAATCTGAGATGTGAACCTGAACCTCTGGTGTGTATGGCTTTGCAGTGGTGCTTATTTAACCACTGGACAACGAATCCTGATTTGTGTTCCTAAAGGCAGGAGGAAACCAGACTGTTTCTTCCTCTAACCACTGCTATGTTAGAAATGCCACATTGTGATTGTCTGGTGAGGAAAGCATTGGGTTGAGTCTTTGCCCTTTTTGGGGGAGGGAAAGGAGGTGGGAATGAGAACAGAAGTTCATGCAATTTCCAATGTGTCAGATATAGCTTACGCTTTACACTTGACAACTGACAAAGCTCTAGGGATGGAAATGGTTGCATTTTTAAAAGAAAGTGAGAAAAGTTTAATTTGAGACTTTCAATTAATGTTCCTTTTTTTTATTTCACCAATTCCAGCTAACACCATGAATGTCAGTCACTGGATGAGCCAGGGGCTGATGTCACTGGATGGCACCTATTATCTGATAAATCTGTATTGGCTCATTTCAGATGAAAGACTGGTTTTGATAGACATGTACTATGATAAACAAGAGAAATGTGTTACTTCAATACATTGTCGTAGCTTGGGGGAAGGGGAGAGGGGTTCTTCTTCCTTCCTGACAGTTCAACGTATCACCAGAGCTAATGGCTTTCTTTCAACAACTTCTAGAAAGTGTTCAGTTTGCTGGAAGCGAGTTTTTTCAGACTGTAATTTAAAATCCGGTGCATGGTTATTATAGCAAAGAAACTCTTTGACACTCTTTGCCACATATTGTTTTCCACAGAAGGTTATAAATTTGTATTCAAATTCTGCTTGACAGATTTGGTGTATGGTGCCTGCTTGGTAATGAAAAAAATGGCAAATGGAGACTTTTACAGTTTTACCAAAAAGTCTTAATCACTTTGATCCATCTCAAAGGTGGGCTGTGTTGCACTAAGTCATAGAGATCAAGAGGTCACGGGTTTGATTCCTGGCCTGTGCTGAGTGAGCGGATTTCAGCTGAGCAGTAGATTCTCAGCTGTGACCGTGTGTGCAAAGACTCTTCTAGTTGTAAGCTCCCAATTGGCTATCTAGGATTAGGAAAGGAAAAGGTGACCCAAGTTTCCATTCCTGATCACATGTTGGGGTAATGCCCAGGGACAGGAATATGCATGATGTGCCCACAGTTGGAACGGTTTCCAGACATCAGTCATTCGTTCAGTCTTGCGCTCACACATGAAGAATAGCTACTTGGTTAAGGTACCAGAGGGTAGCTGACATATGTGGAACTGAATGAAACAGAACCTTCAGGGGTGAAGGTGAGGAAATTGGACCAGGTAGGGTGGTGGAGGGTTGGAATTCCACTATTAAAAGTGTATAAAGTTGGTTTAGTGTTCCAGTTACTGCAGACTAACTCATTCTCTCTCTTCCTCTACTCCACCTTTGGCATTACTACATCTCTACAAGCATCCAGAATTACCAAGATCTTTGGTGTAGTGGTTAGGATCATTCTAGTTGTGAGCAGAAACCCTCAAAACACGGATATTTAAAAAGGGTCTTACAACAACAACAAATTACATTTATAAAGTGCCTTTCATGTCAGAAGGACGTCCCATGATTTGAGTTCGTCATTGCACAAAATATAAGAAAAAAAGGACATTAACTGAAAACTTATGTTTCAAGATTGCTATAATGGAGAAAATGAGTGACATCTTGCAATAGAGTCTTGACTTCCGGCTCCAAGGGCCAAGGTTAAAATCACAGCCTCGACTGTTGTTCTGTTGATTTCCCTTATTGATTTGCCCTGGTATCTCCTTGGAGCTAAGAGTTTCATCTCGGGGGAGAAAGAATGACTCACAAGAGTCCGAAAATAACCAATGTAATGTGACTGGAAAACTTCTTATCCCAGAACAGTTATCCCATACTCCTGGTTGAAGGGAGGGAGATGGCAGGAAGCAGAAGTGAAAGTGGGGAGATCCCAATGAAAGTACTGAACTCACGTGTGCAAGGCATCGACAGGGGGTCGCTTTCTGCTCTGAAAAAGCCCCTCTCACAGATGCAGTATGTAGAGGATTCTTGGGTAGAGAAGCTGTGTGGGGGACATTTGGAACAGCTTTTATCCGTCGACAAGGACTTGTAGTATCCGACTTTACAGGCTGCGAAAAAACGAAGCAAAATGGTGTTATTTAAACTAGAATCTCCTTGCAACATTTTTGAAGCCTGGCTCTGGAATGACACTTAAGCTTTTAAGAGAAATGAAGTGTTAACATAAATAACTAGCAGATAGGAGGAAGGAATTCCAAATATTTATGATGCATCAGTTTTGGTGGGTTAGGTTTAATAGATGGTCTCTCTAAGTTTCATCACTTTGTCATCACTCAGAGCATATCTTTTCCTGTCCCCACCTCACCTCCCTCCCCCCCCAAAAAAAAAATCAGGCAGAGGATTTAAAAGGCATTATTAAAACAATATGTTACTGAATAATGAAAAGTAATGAATATTGTGAAGTTGTTAACCATCCCTGCCCACCTCTCTGATCATCGAGCTTTTATATGCTACAATAAAAAAGCTTCTAATGGTACAAAAATACAGATTAATGTACTATCAGTCTTGTCTCGGCCTAGTTTCAAAGCCATAACTCCCTTTGACTAAGATTTATGATTCCGAATATGCATAACCACACAGTCTAAAAAGATGCTGTTGGCCATCCTTCAGAGGACTTCAGTTTTGCCGAGTACAGTACAAAGGCACACTGAGGTCAGACCTTCTGCTGCACATCAAACACTCCAGTCCTAACCGATCCCAAAAAACAAATAAACTCTAAGTGCAAAGGGAAGCTGTTAAGATTAAATAAATTGACAGTATGAAGCATTTTATTATTCAACATTCCAACAGTCTGATTTAACAGCTGTATTGCAACATTACTGTCTGTTGTTCAGGCATTCCACAGCTCTCAAGAAAAAAGATGATTGAACTGGAAACAATCACATAAAAAACAAGGATATGCTAACGTATTTCTCACAAGTTTGCTTCAAATGGTGTCACTATACAACACATAACACGTGATACTGTTCATTGCAGTGTTCTGAACACACTCCTGTAAAATGCATTCACCTACTTACTCCAATGTTATATCTTAATGCAAACCTTGTCTCAGTGGCCATTAAAACCAAATTGCAAGGAAGTTTTATTAATTTTTTTCCTGTATGTGGGTGAGATTATATTCCCTCATCTCTCTTGCTCTCCCCATCTCTCCTGATGGTGCTAATGCTCGCTGGTGTAGAAGCTCAAGTTACTTTTCCGTGTCTTACCCAAGCAGCCATTCTTCATGTGTAAACCCACAGACTTGATCATATCAGCTAAACTTGTCTGACGCCCACACACATGCATTTCCAGCAAGAGGTCACTCAATAGCAATTGGGAATGTACCACAGATTGACTGCTCATGAGAAACTATCAAAGAATATAACTGCCTGCCAGATTCTTCCAAATACACATCTTAATGGTTCCACTGCCCGTCAGTAACTGGATTGCACCATAACTGTGAAGCCCTTCAATATTCACAAGTCTCTATAAATGGGGCTTTGTTCAAATTGTAACATACTGTACTAAACAACATTGTTTTTAAACAAGACTAAAACTCTCTGAACTTCATAGTCTGACAAGGATTTACTCATGCTGGTTAAATATTTTATAGCAGGGTGTGCCAATAAAAATAAATACTGTACGAAATACTGACGGGATAAATATATGTTAAGGAACTATTCCACTTCAAAACGGAGGGTGTCGGGGATATGTAATATATATAATGGGTTAGGCTTGTTGCTCATCTTCTTTAACAGCCTTTAACAGATAAGTTAGGATACTTAACTTAGATAAGAAACTTAAAATAGCTCATTACTGAAACTTTTAAACACTTAAAAATGAAACAAATGATCATTAATAAATCATTATTCAGCATTCAGCGCCTGGGGCATCCTCCCGACATGAAAGGCACAGTACAAATGTATTGTATTACAGTGGTTTCCTTTTCCGATGATTAGTCCAGCCAATCACACGATTTGATGAGGCAATTTTACACTCGCTTTTCATTCTTGTTACCAGGTAAATACACTCGCTCCTACCTCGGGCTTTCAAAAAAGATCTGTCCTCCTCCCTCGCTTCAGCTATTTGGCTGCTTCTACCTTAAACTGAGTCAATATTGAATCACAAAGCTTGAACAATATTTTTTTTCCCTGTGAGATGACAAAAAGATAGCACAAATTGAGCAAGATTGTTTAATTAAATCGGGTGATTGGCTAGTCTTAACCATCAAAAATGGAAACCACTGTAATAATTTATAAAACACCATTGAATTTCGTTCTTAAGGGTTCAAAAGCCGCACTAGCGATCTGTTTTAAGTATTTTGTGTTTATTGTGTGAAACTGAAATGGTAGCGATATTTCAATATTGATTCCGTGCTGCGTAAAAAAAAAAATCACTCGATCAAATCACGGAAACTTTAATCCCACTTTGTTGACATATTCAGTTTCGTTGTGAGAGATAGTCATGCAGTTTGAATCCATCACCTTCATTCACTGAGGTCAGAAGCTTGTTTTGGTAAAGAGGTGAAACTCGGTACACACTGACCTGGTGAAATATTTAAACACACTCCACTCCCTGATGAATCAAAAATAATATGAATTGTGCACAGTGTGAATAATACTCAATGCAAAACTGGAATTCACCCATGGCGAAGGAACAAAATGATATTTGGCGGGTAATTTTGCGGTTCCATTAATTAGCAGGATTTCCATTTCACAAGGAGTGATTGGTATGTTGTTAACGCCAAGCTTGGAACACAAAGCCATTCTTATTTGTTAGCCTGGCTCAGTGGCAGCACGCATACATTTTCCATCCAAGATATTGTATTTTTTCCTAAAGATAATTTTTTAAGATGCCCTAGTGAAAGGGAAAGGGATATTGCTAAGGGATTAGAAGTACATCCACTACTTGCAAAACAACCTGACAGGGATTTGCATGTAATTGGGTGTTCTATCAAAGATAATTCTCTTTATTTAGGTGTTGAATCAGATCTGGATCTCCCAGATTACTTCTGTACCATTATTAGCAATTTGATTGCTTAACTGCAAAATCCTTATCAACACGTATGCATGTGACCAGCATCATCTTTAAAGAAAACTCAATTACATGCAAAAACCTGCCTTGTGTTACAACTGCATGTATACAAACAACACTTATTAAAGATCTGAAAAAGAATTTGGGTTAGGTGATTCAGTAAATCATCTTTTTCAAAAAAAAACTTTGAAAAACTAGGAATTTTTAAAAGCTGTACAAAAAGTTGTACAGCCATACTTTTGACAACCCGATTGAGCTTGAATGTTCTTACTCCTCACAAAGAAGTCTTTCAGCTTGTTTTCCCGCAAGGAACCCATGATAGTCCAGCTGCCCCAGACGAACATCGAGTTCTGGTCGTCCAGCTGTCTCTGGCACAAGTACTTTCCCCAGGATAGCTTCCGTCCTGTGTCTTACATCTAAATATCCCAGGCAAGCAAGTGCCCACCCAGACATTAATGGAACAAAGTCTTTCTGGGTCACTGCTGGTACAAGAACAAATCCTTTTCTGGAAGGAGGGGGAAAGAAAAATGGGAAGATTTGAACCAATGGAATTAATGGGGCTTGGCAGAATTTAGGCATTCTGCCCCCTAATGCAAATACTTGTTGAAGATAATAGAAAAAGCCTAACAAGGATAGTAGGTGGTGATCAGTTTGCATTAGGACCACACAGCGCAGTCAGTTAAAAGGCATATACATCTTCATTGTTTAAACCAATGCTTCGGTTCCACTTCGCTGCTCAATAACTAGTCTGATACCATTTGTTTGCAAATAATAAACTGAGGTGGGGCACAAATTGACTGGTAACTTTGATTTACCAAAAGAATCTTCATGGACAATTTTGGCCAGTAATAAGCAATAACTATAAAGGTCTACACTAGTCATTAATCAGTTATTACCCTGGTAAAAGAAGAATCACTCACGTATATGATCTGGCACATTGAAGAGTCGTAAGTGAGGGAAGCAGAGATCCATATCTCAAAGAGCTGGCTAGTCTGCCTGGGATTATCTCTGATCTTTTAAGCTTTGCTGATCTTTAAAAAAAGGTATTTAACTCCCAGATTCAGAAGGCAGCTGGGTCAAGCCTGAGTGCCCAGGTTATTGAAATAAAGGACAATACTTATTCAATGATCTGTTCGCACTGCTACTGGTCTCTGTCTACAAGTGCCTCAAAAAAGATGAAATGTTACAGCATAGGTTAGTTTAGCGTACACACACAGATTTATATTAATAATCCTTGCATTTGATATAGCACCTTATCACGTCGATGAGAAGTCTCAAACCTCTTCACGGAATATATTGTAAAATGGATTGACTGTGTATTTTGTGGGCGAAACGCAGTCTCTCATAGACGCCTCAAACTTTCAAGCTACCTCATTGTAAGTGTTTAAATATATATTAAATATATACCTCTATATAGATAGACAAAATATCTACGTAAGCATATCCATTCTCACATTGCTTCATATACAGCAACTACAATTATAGAAAGGTAAATGAAAGCCTAGAACAAACTCCATATTATATATTGGGACAATGAAAGTATGGAATCCATAATCATGTGATGTGTATAGCTGGTGTCAAGCATCGAGCTCAATACCTTAACCATCTTTAATATTTATGGGAAGCATAGGATGTTGAGAACACATTGGGCCATTAGATTTAGAACCTCTTCCGACACTTTACTGTTAAATACAACAAATACTGTGTCCTGAATCAAAGTTTCTCCCTCGTCAAAATAACCTGCTCCTTGTATTCCATCAAATACCATATCAAGGAATGCTTTTATGCAAACAGTCAGTGAACTTCACTGGCATTTTGTTAAGACATTCTGACTGAAAATCAGCTGTTATTTACTGTGTATAAATGCTCAGGTAGAATGATGTAGACACAACGTAAATGTACTGCACCTGGAAAATCAGAATCAAAATTATCGCACACCATTCTCTAACTCCTAATAATTGACCAAAAGAAACTAATAATGTTTGAGTTAAGTCATTAGTAAGCCTCGTTGCATTGCCTGTGAATAATTTAGAAATAA